GGCTCGTTATTGGCCATCAACAGGACAGAGTCAATTTCCGATAAAGAGTTCGGCAGAAGTGTTGGCATCCATCAGTGTCTGGCAGGCCTGGCGCGGCGCGCACCGCACCGCAGTCCGTCTGCAGACGCAACAGACTTTGCTTCACCGCGGCGGCAGGGATCAGTGGAGACGCGTTCGGGCTCGGCCGTGCACGCTGGCCGAGGCCGGCGCTGCTCTCTGCTCGCTCTTTCAGCGAAATGAAAATGAGCAACGTCCCCGTGTTTGCGGTGGGAGGGGAAGGGGGCAGAGGCGAGGCTCGAGGCGAGGAGGCAAGAGCGCTGGCGACAACTTGCAAAAATTTACTTGCCGCGGCGACGCTGGACATGCATACCCCAGATGCGCCGCCGCCACCTCACCGCCGAGCCGCCTTCGCCCTTCGGCCGATAGGTGGCGCCTCGCTTCGCCTCGAGGACCCCGACGACGTCCGCGGTCGATGCCTGCAGACGCAGCCAACGGCGCGAGGAAGCACACTGCATTTTCGGAGCCCGGAAATGGGAGTCCGGGAAATGGTTGGCACGCGGAAGCCCGGCCGGCACGTCCAGCGCGTCGGAGAGTGTGATGCAATGTGCTTGTGGCCGAGCCGAGCCGAGCTGGTGGCGCCGGTCGGTCTGACACACCACCGCCAGCTCGCGCCAGCCTTGGCCATAATTACAACCGCCTGCGGTTATCCCCGACGACGCGGTCCTCATCGTGCTCGTCCTCGGCGTCCTGGGGGATCATGCTGGCCGGTCGATGAGGGCCTGGCGGCCGGGTGGATGAAAACCGATCCTCCCCTCGACTCAGCCAAGCCGCCCCCCGCGCACTTGGAGGATTTGCAGGGCGTTGCAGGGCGTTGCAGGGCGTTGCACGGACGAGGCCGCCGTGACATCAAGTCGGTGATAAGGGCGAGGCCCCATCAGTGGCGCCGCATGGCCCCGCAGGGGTCGTCGCCGCCGTCATCAAGTTCGATCCGCCCCGCCAGCCGCCCCGGCCTGTCTTTCGGGTACCGAGTATGCGTGCGTCGGCCGTCTCCGCTCCAACCCTTTCCCTGTCGACTTAGCTTCCTGACCCCCCAGCGCCGCGCCGCCGCACCGCCGCCCCCACGGCCGCCGCGCCCGTCCTAGGGTCGCCTCTAGTAATCCGACACAGGCTTAGACAGTCATCTGAAAGCCCCTCGCCTCTATACAGGCGGGGATCAGGGCGGCAAGGCGACCCTCGAGGACGAGGATGACACCGGGGTACCGTCACTTCAAGGGGCGTCGGGCCTGGCCCGGCCCGGCCTGCCCGGCCTGCCCGGCCTGCAGACGAGGCGGCATTGTGTTGCAAAATCGCCGCGCCGTGCCGCGCCGCGCAGCCATAAGCCTGCACGACAAAGGCGTATCGATCAGGGGCGGCAGGTCGCACGAGACACCGAACCACTTGACATTTGTCCAGGCGTTTCCACTCCAGACCGCGCCTCGCGCCGCCTCGCGCCGTCGCCGTGTTTTCGGCACGTCGTCGCCGCCCTGGCGGCCTCGGAGGCTCTGATCCGATTCGGACGGCCGGACGGACGGGCGGGCGGGGGAGTTAAGAGGACTCGGTTCCGATAACGCCCAAATCCCCGGCCAGCTCGCGCAGCTCGAGCACGTCACAAACGAAATATGAGACTGGACGCTGGCCGGCCGCTACCGGGCCCGAAAGACACGCCCGCCCCGCCCAGTCAAGCCGGGCCTCAGCAGACGAAAAATGGTCCGTCTTCAGGTGCACGGGCGCCGCGGTCACGCGCGGGGCGCGGCGGCTTAGCGGCGGCACGGCGCGGCCCGTGTAAGGCACTTTGACAAAGGTGCACCTACACTCCTACACCGCCGAGAACACTACCAAAATGACCGACATTCGAACGCGTTTTGTCCGCGTACCGGGTACAGCTACGACTCCAGCGTGTTGTTGTTGTTGTTACGACCCCGGACGTCTTCCGGTGGCCGTCCGCGCGAAACGCAGGCCGTGGGAGCGCGGGGCGGCGCGGGGCGGCGCGGGGCGGCGCGGGGCGGCGCGGGGCGGCGCGGGCGCGGCGCGGGGGCGGCGCGGGCGGCGCGGGCGGGGGGCGGCGCGGGGCGGCGCGGGGCCAACGTGTTGTTTGTTGCGCTCCACTTGCAGTGCGTGCGCCGCAGGCCGCAGCACTGACCCGACACCGGCGTCGCCACCCATGAAAAACTTTTCCAAAAATTTAATGTTTTTCACGACTTTTCGAACCCAATCTGTGACCTACCCGCCTGTCGAAAGCTGAGACTACCCCGCACGCCAGAGACTCTCGATGCTGGCCATGGGGCGGGCGCGTGACGGGCGCGGGGTAGCGACGACGGGTCACCTTTTTTCGCCGGGCATGATGGTCCCCCCGGCGTGTGTGTGTGCCACACAGTGTACGTGCGACTGCATGCGCGGAACCCAATTACAAACGGCTTAGCGCGACAGAGACGGACGAATCCGCGTGCGCCGCAGCCGGGCACAGCGGACAGAGCGTCGCCGTCTCTCTCGCACTCACGGGGCGTGCCGTATGGGTGCGAGAGAGACAGCTGGAGCCGGGCACAGCTGCACTCCGCGGCGAGGAGCGCCCCGCTTGAGGGCCGCGGGGGCGGGGGCGGCGGGGTAAGAAAGTACCTGACAGGCCGCGCCAGTGGCCCGCCGCCGGCCCGCCGCCCCCACGCCACGTCACCCTCACAACAATTAGGCAGCCAGCCAGGCCGAGCTGGCAGCGCCGGATCCGGAACTCGCACGACACGGCGGGGCCCTGGCGGGGCCGGCCACGCCCCGGGACTAGGGCCCGCACCGGGACCCATCCCATCCCATCTCAGCCGCGGGCCGCCGTCGCCGAGGCCGCGGGCCCGGCGTGGACTTCCGTGCCAAGAAAGGGGATTCATCGTGCAGCCCGCCAGCCCCGCCAGCCCCGCCAGCCCGGCAGGGCTATTTGCACCCAGGGATTGAAATAAAGGCCGTCCTCGGCATAGCGCGGCCACAACACGCTGCAGACGGTAGACGGTCCCCGGCGGGGCGGGCGGGGCGAGCCGGCGCCAAAGCGCAAGTCAGCGAGGCTACTGGAGGCTGCTGGAGGCTGCTGGAGGCTGCTGGAGGCTGCTGGCGGCACTGCGGGGCATTCCGGGCCAAGCACGCATCGGCCATCACGGCGGACCGATTGAGCGCCGTTTATCACTCAGAAGCAGGTTGTCGAGGGGTGACCCACTGTAAAATTTTGTGTACAATGATTGTGTGAATGTGCAAGAATGTGCCAGATTTCTGGCGTTTTTGCCACACATGTTGCCTACTTACAGGCGTTTTTGCCTCCTGAATGTGGAATGTGGTCAAATTTTGTACAACGAATGTGGGAAGCTGTTCCCCCCTCGAGGTTGTCTTCTTCTCAAATTCACCTTTTCCGGCATCAAAACGGCCCGCCGTCGGCAGTGTACCGCCGAGCCAGGAGGGCTACGTAATGCAGGCGCGCCGATACCTATTTTCGAGTGCAGCAGACACAAAGACTGACGGGCAGGAAGTGGATCGAGATGTTGTCGCGCGGCGCGGCATCCAGGCCGGCGGGCCGACAGCGTGACCCAGATGCAGCTCCCCGAAGGCGACGGCGCACTCGGCGCGTTTCGCGGACTCCGCAGCGGCAGCCAGGTGCAGTCCGGGCAACTCTCCTTTTTCGCGGGAAATTTAAAACCCAGGCCGTCGCAACCGCAACGCCGCGGCCCGTCAGGCAGGCCAGGCGGGCGGCCAGGCATGCAGGCAGCCACGACGCGCCGCCCTTCGCTTCCCACCGAATTACGTGGTGGGGCCCAAAGGGGGCTCCCGGTGGGGGCCAAAAGGGGCCCCGGGAGGGGCGAGGGGCCCCACGGGGCCGCGGAGAGGTCCCGGAAGGGCTCGGTTCCCTACGGTTTCCATGCTCCAAGGTGGACCGGGCGGAGCCGGGCGGCCGGTCCCACGCACGCCGCAGAAATATACCACGGGCAAGTAGGACACTGTCGAAAACGCGCTTCAGGTCGCTTTGCCCCGAAAACAAAAGTTGATTTGGCGGGAAAAACGTCGCCCACGTGCGGCGGGACGCGAGAGGCCTCGTCAGGAGCTCATCAAGAGCTCCGCGTTCCTCTTGACTCTCCGCGCAGAGATGAGCCAGGAATAGAGAGATTGCGCAATTAGAGGGACTGCAGCGCGCATGCGACACTGCAATGCCAGTGTGCGGCCGAGCCACCGCTAAAACGATTACCGCGACCAGTCGGCCCAGTGCGAGGAATTAAAACTCGCAGACAACAAATCACTCCATTTGTTGGTGGATTTCGCAAAGAACGGGCTCAATTAACCGCAAGAACCACGCGCAGTGTTGGCACACCGCGAAAGTCGAACGGACCAACAGTGTATCGTTTACAAGGAGATTATCAGCCCAAGGCGAAATGAGATGCGAGGACCCCCATTTAAATGGCGCGCGGCTACAGACAACGGGGCTACACACTAGTACGGGTCACTTAAGGTCAAGTCCCCCCCCCCCTTTTCCCCCTCGCTGCCTCGCTGTCCCTCAGAGCGGAGCGGCGGTGCAGTGCCCGCCTGGCCTGCAGACCGATGTGCGAGGGAGACCAGACGAGGGAGCGTTCCATTGCCCGGTCCGACCGGTCGCGATGCATCCAGATCCCCTTGGGTGCGTGCATGTGTGGGTGAGTGTGTGTGTGTGTGTGTGTGTGAGTGAGAAAGAGTAGCCAAGCCTTTCCTTGTGCCGACGACGCCTCGCCCTGCTCGTCCGGTAAGGTAAGGGCCGCTCTAACACACTCACAAAAAAAACCACACACACACACTCACACACACACACACACACGAAGATGCGTCGAACGAAGGGAAAGCTCTATGGAGACACGCGGGCGCGGGGACGTCTCCAAGAGAAAGAGTCATTATTAATAGTCCTGCCTAACAGAGTACGTATACGTACTGTGCGTTACAACAAGAGAGTATTTAAAAGTGTTACTCACCGAATCTCCGAAGGGTCCCGGCTCCTTCATTCCATTTCTCGAGTCGTGGCGACCACCTGGAGCAACAAGGAGAAGGAAGCACATGAGTCATCCATCTTTAATCCCGAAGCAGGCTACCCCGCTGCCAAAGGGAAGCAGAGCAAAGGCCCCTCGCTCCACCTGCAGGGCATGCCCAGCCCAGCCAGGCTCACGAACCATCTCCGCCCGGCCCGACGACGACGCATCGTCTCCAGTCGATTAATCATCGCGTTTGCACATTTCGACGCGTGTTATTTGACGGTTGCCAATCGCGAACCATCAATATTTTTCTGCCTGCAAGTGGCTGTACTTGACACGAACCGTAAGCGGACGTAAATGGCGGGGAAAGGGGAGGGGGAGGGGGGGCAGGAAGTAGAGGAGGTCAGCTTCTTTACGAGGGAGCCCTGCTGCCCTCCAGCAGGCCCTGCTCCTGTCTCTCTCGCACCCCTGCGGACCGCCCGGCGAGTGCGACAGAGACGGGGCGATGGAACGACTCTGGAAGGCCTGGAGGCCTCATTTCCACATCCCGGAGCGTCGTCCCGGGGCCATAGTTGATACCCACACGGGACGGTTATTCCCTCATTCCAGAAAAGTGGTCCCATCCCAATCCCATCACCTTCTTTGGTGAATGGGCCGGCGGAAAGGGGGGGAGGGGGGCTGGACCGCGCCCTTTATAGAGTCATTGCAGCAAATTGTTTGCATTGCCCGTCCGAGTCCACACGGCCTCGGCCAGTGCACTGCCAGGGCTTGCACGAAGCGGCGTCAGTCGGGACTGGCCGATTATTGGCCAAGGCAGACTGAGGCGTTCGGCCGCGAAGCCGCGGAGCAGCCATCGACTTGGAAATCCGTGCGGCCATCGCATGGCTCGGGCGAAGTCCCACCGCCCATCCCGGCGGACTCACACAGCTCGACGCGAAAATCAAAATCAACACGTTTCGCGCCAAACCGGAATCATCATTTCAGTTTGCTCGTCGAGCGGTATATATTCAAAGCGTACGCAGCTTTGCACAGGGTTCTGGCTGGTCCACTTCCAACAGTACTACATATCGATGAGTGCGAAATTAGTTCGGGAGAGCGGGGCGGCTTTAACCTTTCCAGAAGGCGACCGGACAAAAACACGGCCAGGCCTTTCAAGCTTTGGGGCTTTCAAGCTTTCAGGGGCGTGCAGTGAGGCCGCGGCGGCGGCGTAGCGGTCACGAAGAGACAATGGCGGCAACAAACGTGATGCAGCGTACTCGCCAGAAAGGAATCGTACCAGTAACTTACACACACGCACGCACGCGCGCGCACACACAGACACGCACGAGCATGCAAGTTACGGCTAATGATGACTCGAATCAATCACGCGGCCGGCTCGACTCATCCTTTCGTCATACGAGACCACCGGCACGGAGGTCACACACACGCACACACACACACTAACTTAGTAGTCGCGCGGTGACGCAACCCGAATCGCAAACACTGCGTTCTATCCAGAGAGGTATCGGCCGGCGCTTCAATTCAATCCACGACCCGCATAGATTCATTCCGAACCACGCGGCGCTTTTGTCGCTCTCTGCGTCCCCCCCCCCCCTCTCTCTCTCTCTCTCTCTCTCTCTCTCTCTCTCTCTCTCACTTCAAGCTCTGCAGCACACCGCGCGCCGCCTGCCCCACGCGGCTCGGCCTTCTTCTAGGCGGCGAGCGGTGAAACTGAGAGAGAGAGAGGGAGGGAAGGAGGGAGCATCGGGTGGGTGAATCGTTACATGCCAGTCCTGTCCAGTCCAGTCATTTAGAGACAGTTTAGTCGAGTCGGTCTGGTCTCGGCACAGTGTGCCCCTCCACACACGCACATGCACGCACACAGACACAGCGCACGCGGGCTCTATGTGGGCGGGCCCGCCAAGTTCAAAACAGGCTGCACGCGGCGCAGCACGCACGCACAATCACCGTTCGGCCCGGCATACGGCCCACAAAGGGAAAACGGGGGAAACTCGCGGAAAGCCTCCTGAAAGGAAAGGACTTCCCTGACTGGAATTATTCGGCGGGAACTCTCGGGCCGGGCGGCCTTTCCACAGATTTTTCTTTCTCTTCCCGACGCCCCGTGGGCCCCAGTGTGGGCCCCAGTATGGCCCCGTGGCCCCGCGGTACGGGGAAAGACGAGACGACGCTAGGACGCACCGTTCGGAGCTCGTAAAAGGGAGAGTCCTTGTCGCCCGGATAACACAAACAGGCTTGATTCGATTAGCGCTTTCTCCACTTTTTGACCCGTTTCAGGAAACAAGGGACACTGCTGCGGTACAGTCGGGTCCGGAAAGAGAACCCTTCGTCTCCTCTCCCGGGCGCACACGCCAGAGACTCGTCTGGGGGTCCGGGACTGTACAGTCGGATCAAGTCATCGTTTCCTTCCGAACCGTAGGCCGGGCAGGCCGCGCCCAGCTTACGCCGCGCCGACCGTAGCAGCGCGTCCCGCGTCCCGCCCCGCGGGCGTTTCGTGACAAAGTATGGGAATCCCCTTCGTTCCGCCAGGGGGCAGCAGCACCACGGCGAGGAACGTCTTCCGAAGCAATCGGAATGTACGGCACACCTCGGTCGCCGAGGCGGGAAAATTCCCTCCCGGAGGCGGGAAAAATCCCCCTGCAGGCGGGAAAACTCTTCCGGAGGCAGGAAAATTCCCCGCGCCGGTTAATTTACCGCGCGTCGCTAGAGGGCGTGGGCCGTAACTCAACGAATAAATACGTCAAGGCTGCCTGGAAATCGGGGGGAATTATGGCGCGTACATCACGGGCGACTAAATTACAATGCTCGAGAGTTACCTCGCGAGAATCGACGAAAAAGCGAGATAACGCGGCTATTCATCGGGACATGTTATCGGATACGGCGTCGCAGCGTCGCGTTCCAACTGAAGATGGGCCGTGGCGTCTCCATGGAAGCGCGCTCGGCATGAGCATTCACGGCGTGGGATGCAGAGGCAACAAACTCCGTGAATGGGATTCGACGGGGGCCGAATCAGCCGATGGCACCTTCGCGTTGCCGTGACGCAACCAGCGCCATCCAACTTCGATTTCGAAGGGGCTCTGCCGCACTCACGAGGCGTCCCGTGCGGGTGGGAGAGAGACAGAGCGACGAAACGTGTCTTCGGAGTGGCTAGGGAGACACCCCAACAAACAGACGTCTCATTCACATGCCGAGGCTCCGGGCCACCACGGGGGGCCTTCAGTGGGCACCGTGGGCACTGCCCAGTGTATCCAGGTTGACACGGCGTCCCGGTCCCGAGGCGTCCCGCGGGGACCTCAGAACGCGACGTCCTTCGCACTCCGGAGGGCCCGAGCCGTATTTCACCCACAAAACCAACACCCGACCGTTCTCGATGGCGGCGACGCGACGCCGACGCGTACCAGTGAGTGAGCGGCTTCCAATAAGCAGCGGCAGTAATCTCTGAATCGGTCGTAAACCTGACAGAAGCGCGGTCACTGCGCGGTCACTGCACTGCCCAACCTGTAAGGCCATGACGAGCATGGAGCGCACCTCCCCGTTTATTTATCGTTCGGTTGTCGTAAAGCCGCGATCCGACCGTCTCCGAGGTTCGACTGCAGTGGCCCGGCGGCCCCAAAGCCCGCGACTTGTAGGCAATGGGGCGACGCGCCGGTCAAGGCCATCCCAGCCAACCTGCGGGCTTGGCCCTCGGCTTGGCCACGGTCCCCGTCGGCCGGGTCGTCGGGTCGGGTTGGGTCCCCGCCTCGGTCCCCGCCTCGGTCCCCGCCTCGGTCCCCGCAGCACGCCGCGTCGCGCCGCACTCGGCACGCTTTCTCCCGGCCAGGATGCTGGATGCCGCCGCAGCCGTCTCTCTCGCACCCCTAGGGGACGCCCCGTGAGTGGGACGAAGACGAAACCAAAGCCAAGTGCCCTAGAACCACGGCTTTCAGAGATTCCATCTCGACGAACACAAACTAGCCTCTCGTTTTTCGCAAATATTCACACATTTTCCCAGGTAATCGCGAAATGGAAACTGAAACACTACGTCGGCCCGAGCGCGGTTGCACACAGTCCCCCTCCACACACACACACACGCGCACAAACACACACACACAGACACACACACAGACACACAGACACACACACTCGAGGCGCAGCGTACTCGGTATGTGCACAGAGCCTCGGTGCGTGAGTGACTCGCTGTATGTAAGCGCCAGCAGGTCGACTCCGAACGGCGCTCCCTGTCTCCCTCGCACTCGTGGAGGCAGCCGGCGGTGCGAGCGAGACAGAGAGAGAGAGTCCGCTCAGCCTAGAAAGGTCGGCACACGCCGCGGGGAATGTTGTGGCGCGCCAATCCTGTTGCTCCAGATCGCACAGTGTGCGTCCCGAAAGGACGACGGCGTCAACGAAAGAAACAAAAACAACACACCTTGGGGTTGGAAAAACAGTGTTCGAACGCGCCGGAGCCGGCCAAAAGCCCGGCAGGGGATGAATGAATCAACTGGCCTCGCGCGTGGCGCTCAAACGGGGCGCGCTCTGGGAGAGCAGACCACACACACACACAGCCACAATTGATTAACAATGGAAACTAACGTGCGACTTGAAGCGAGTAGTACCTAGACCGACGGCGGTGCAGTTTCCCGTAATCGATCTTCGACTGGCGCAGCCTTTACAACAACGCCGATGGAACGGGCTTGAAAACAAACACACACACACACGCGCGCCGTGGAGATCGGGCGTTACAGTTAAAGCAATTAAAAGTGACCGTCCGTTTCACTTAATGCGGCATTGTGAACGCCGGGACGGCCGGGACGCCCCCGAGGCGAGGCTGACGCGAGGCTAAGGCGCGGCCGATACGGCGCGGCGTCTCACTCCGACAGTGTGCCTCCACGGCGTGGCACGGACGCCCCGCGCGGCTTTTAAGAGTACACACCGATTCCCGGACTATAAATGAATGCGCCTCTCACACAATGAGTTACGAAATGAGCCGTTCACGAAATTGTATAAGCCGCGCGGCGGGCGATACCAATCGTGTGTGAGTGTGTGTGTGTGTGTCTTACCCACAATGGGTACCATCACAGCGCGA